CGGCTAATTTATTTACGAAAGCTTTTCCATCCATCACCAATATAAAGGCGTCCCTTTAGTTAGTTTGTGAGTATCTATTACTATAGTAAAACTATCTTATATGTTATTAATGAATATAAGAGTTCTATACCTTTTATTATTATAAAGAGGTTAGATTTTATTAATTGTTTGTATTATAATTTTTCGTGAGCGAAGTCGCAATAAATCAGTACATCTAAACATAGTATAAAACAAATTCTCTTCTCGCTGTCTGTACTTTGAGATCATTTAAACTATGCAATGGGTTTAATGCGGTTTTCGTCGATATATAGAGTGATTCGAGCAGGGGCGTAGCTACCGCCGTATCTACTGTATCAATTATACGGGGCCCCCGGGCCACGGGGGACCCCAACGTGCGTAAGCAAAAATTAATAAAAACTTTCTTTTAAATTAAAATAAAAAAATATTTTTATTTCAGAAATTACAAAAGTAACAAAAAAAACAAGTAAAGCATGCGTTTCAAAATTAACAACACTATACATGGTTTTCGCGGACTCCGGGATTTCTTTCTTCGTTTAAGTCATTTACTTCAACGGGAGAATCTCACAATAATCGGTGAACATACGATTAAAATTCGCACAGTCTATAATAATAATAATAATAATCATTTAATATTATTTTTTTTCCGTTTGTGAGAAATCTGTACTCTCCATAAGGGCCCCCAAACAAATTTTTATACAGGGCTCCGCCAAGGCACGCTACGCCACTGGATTCGAGAGGAAGATTTATATGTATAATAATACAGGACCAACGACCAACAAGTCGATTAAGCATCTGGCAGAAAGATAGTTTAGAATAAGACTAGAGTAATTTGGTACGTATAGTTAAAAACTTAAGTTAATTCATTCGAAGAATTCGATATGAGAAAGATCACTAGATATTGTATCTAGTACGTTAAGAATTTTTTGTACATAGTTCATGATCACATACTTCTTGGTCCACAGCCACAATTTCTTATACGACCGACTGGAGCAAGTGAAAGATTATATACAATCCACAAACGTCCGCAATATTCACAGAATGTCAGATAACTTTCCCCAAGATAAATCTATTGTTACAGCCTCATTCAGTGAATGTTAACACCCAAATCTTCAATAGATTACGATATTTATTAAGACCATTTGTTAAAGTGCGATCGAACACATTAATTCGACTCAGAGTTTAGTTTGCAGAGCCTCAGTCGTTAAATTACAGATCTTTTATAGTACAAGAGACAAGGTATGCTTATAAATTAATGGATTTTCTTGTAGTGAATTATTTTTTTGATATATATATTTTTTTATTTAAGTAATTTTTAAAAAGCTTCTTGATGTACATAAAATGTGTATAAGGTGTCTTTAGTTTTATTTCGGGTAGCACAATCAAGTAATAGGTAATAGAGTAGAAGAAAGCTCAATTTGGTATACGTTACAATTTAATATTGGCACCATGCTGGGACTTTTAAGATTAAATTAGGCATGACGAAACTTTATGAAAGCTGTTTTAGCGATAGTAAATATATATTTCTTTAATAATACACTGTGTGTCTTTAACAAATTTTATGATAACCTTCAGCTCCAAAATTCACCAAAATTCCTTCGCCAGGCTATTTTTGGTAATTTCTATAGATTCGATTTGGAATTTGATTTGATAGACTACAGCATTTTAGCCCAAATTTGTGAATGCAAAATACTTTAATTTTAATTTTTTTATAAAAATCGATCTATTTCTGCGGAAAAATATGCATTAAAGGGAGACTTTTGAAGAATTCTATTCTATTAGAATTTTATAATAATATTTATATAACCAAATTACAATTCATAAATATGGATATGATACTTTATTAGTTGGATAGCTCAGTCTACCGCGTAACTTACTTGCGAAAGTGAATGAATAAGTTATTTGCAATCTCAGGTATCCAAGTAGTAATAGAATAATTAGCATTTTCAATATTAAATAATAGTTTCTGATCCATCAGTATTCATGATTATTTTAATAGTTAAATTATTTGTAATTCAAATCGAATGCACGAATTATCCGACCGTTTATGATTTTCATAAAACTCATACGAATGCAAATAAATTTAGCAATGAGGAAGTATTTAAAAAAGTAGTTCCCGATATCAAACTAGATGTCGCTGCGGTACGTTCTTGATTTCTTCATGACAACCCTTCCGGTTTTCTTCCATGTTTAATAGTAAATTGGTTTTCGAAACTCAATAAACAATTAATATTCTATTTGTACTTTTTCGTTTTTGTATTGATATCTAAGTTTCGAACTTTTAAAATTTCAGTTTTTTTATATGTTAGTTAAAAGGAACGGAAAGAAACGGGTCCATTCGTTTCCCGCAAAAATCAACTTTTGCTAGAGTCGCCATCTAGTGGAGGTGCTTTCGATTTTTTTAATACTTTCTCATTATATTATTGGTATGCTAAAGAAATAAATAAAAAATAATATAAAGCAATAATTTTCACTAACATCTATTGGACTACATCTAACATTGATCGATCCGAAAACTAATCAGATTCGCAGTCAACAACGGATCGCTTTCATCAGGCGTTTTAACTGAATCCGACAAATAGTCTGAAGAGGGTAAACTTTAACGGGCCGTTTTATCACACACGTAGTGAAACCGCAGATTAACTCTGACCAACGGTTTCACCAGACGTTATTCGTCTTGCGAAGTGTGAAGCTTAATTCTAAATAGTCTATTGTTCCGAACAATTTAAAAACGAAAAAAGGAGAAACATACTTGTTGAGTTTTATCTTAATTTCTGTCTAGATGATGTTTCCGATATTTAGACTTTTTAATCATTAGTTAGACCATGAATGTATAGATAGTTCTCGATCGATTAATACTATCGACGGTGCTAAACAAAAGCACATAATCCCTATATTCCCAAAGATATGGTGTGATATCATATTTTTCAAGTTCGACCATTAATAGCAAATGTACCGCTGTCTCATTGGTAAGAAGGGTTATAAAAAAACGGAAGAATATGCCCTAGCTGAATTTCTCGACATTTTTTCTCAGAACAAGGTACAAGATCTTTTCCTTTAGATTTCCACACATGACGATAGATTAATGTGAATTATCGGTACTGGATATTAATTAAAACATTTTAATTTAGAGGTTTCGAAAATATTCAGTCCCAGCATAGCCTAATCTTGCCTTTCACATTAGTCAGTCTCTGGACTATCGATCGCCATTCATCTTGGAAATTCGTCCCACCCATCTCCATTTCTGCTCAGTTATTGTGAATACAGTGTCCCTGACTTTTGTTATGAATCGTTTAGCTTATTCAGGAATTTTATTGAGCATTGCTATTTATTGTTGTAGATTTTGTTAGGGTAGCAGTTTTTACATTGGCAGGACACACTGAATGAAAACCTTACTTTTAGTGTCTGCGTAATGTTTGGCTTCATACGCCTGTGCTATGCGCCTTTCTACGTCTGCAGTTTGGTTTGGTAGGATTAACATTATTTTGTGTCGTGATAAATCGTCTAGAGTGTGCAGTTTGGTAGGATCAACGTTATTTTCGTAATAAATCTTCAAGCGTGTTTTAGATCTTGTAGAGTAGTTTACGGTCGCAATTTTGCCAAATTCGTATTTTAAAGATTATTATTGCAAGTCGCTACAATTAAGTGTATCGTTTTTGATAGACACGAACCGAATTTAACTATCAAGTTATCGATATAGTTAGTTTCTTGTCGATAAAATTGGACAACTCGGTAAATGGACTTCGCGATCGGCATTATTATGAAAATTAAACATACCACCGATGGTTTGCTAAATACAGAAACATAAATGGCAATAATCGACTCGATAGAAAAAAATCGCAAAGATGACTTTAAATAGGCTTCTTGGATCGATTTTACGATTAATAGATTTCATCTTAACTATATACAAAAATAGATTTTGACATGCTTTAAAATATATATCATATATATATAATATACAAAATGTATGAAATCAAGCGGTTTACGAGCTCACGCTGCAGTGTTGTTATTGATACGGCAATTGCCGTAATATATGGTAATCCATTTTTTTTGGCACAAAATACGGTATACGGCAGGCCTTTCAGTGCCGTATCAAAAATACGGTAAATGGCGGTGAGTGGAACGATACGTTTTTAACCAGCGCGCCGCATAATGCCATCTCTTTCCCTTTATCTATGACGCTTTATATATGATTTATCCATGTCTCTCGGTTTTGAGAGAACTAATAACTCAGTTAGTGTTTATTGGTTATTTAAATTGATAAATGAGTGATTGTGACCTTCTTCTCTAAAAAAAGACTAAAAAGTATAAACACACAAAAGAAAAATATCGACACCAGTGGGAGAGTAACGATGTTTTTTAAGACAGGACTACTCCTGTTGATGATCTTTAGTGTAAAGTGCACTAAATGTGACGCTTAATTATCATGTAAACTTTCAACTTAACGAGTACATGTGAAATTTAGCACAACTGATTGCAAAACTCTAGCGAAGTTTGCTCTAGCTAGATGTTCTGTCTTCCTTACAGTAATGCAGATTGTGAAAGAATATTCAGCTAAGTTTCAATATGAAGACCAAGATGCGAAATAAGTTAATGGAATTGATGGTATATAAAAGTTTATTAGCAAGACAACTTTTTCAAAATTTAGAAGCAAGGACAAGTGCAAGCTAGACAAACATGAATCCGAAGTTAGAGAAATGATAAGAATCGTTGATGGAGAAGAAACAAAGGAGAAATAATAATTTTTAAATTATATACGGTATTTTAATATCTTTCCCTTTAAATACGGCAAATCAGAATGTGATATACGGCAACCCAGATTTTTACGATATTATATTCGTTTGCGGAGAGTGGGGAATCGCAGCGCTAACTCATGACTGTGATAGAACTTGAAGCTTTTGCTTTACCGTCGGTCATTGTGGCTAAGTTGACGCGACGTGATAGATGTCGCCACAGATGGATAGGTTTCGATATACACTCACCAGGTTCTGGCGACGGGCGCGTGGCACACGTATATGTACCTCTGCACCGCGAGCGCAAGAGTAAGCCAAATGCTAGCTGTGTGGAACATCGCAGGAATCACCTGGAACAAATAAAAAAAAAGGTTTATTTATTCGTTGGCATATGTTAATATTATATTATACAGTTTTCGATATGTGAGATTAATAATCTTGATCAGACTAGTCTATCTTAGATGATATATATGTCATCAAAATATTCGTTTTAAGGCCGTCTTGTATCTCCGCTTGTGTTCTCATACAAATACGCAAATAAAATCGCATCGCATCGAAAGAAAGATCGCGCGCTCGCTTAATTTCACACATTTTTAATCATAAAATGCAGTAATAAAAAAAATGAGATCAAAAGTTAAGATGGAATATATTAGTCGTAAAATCGATCCAAAAAGTCTATTTGGAGTTATCAGAGCGATTTTTTCTATCTAACCAATTATTGGAATTTATATTTCTGTTTTAGCAATCAATCGCTTAAAAATTTATTTATTTAAGTTTAATAACGTATTTAATTTGGCAAATATTGCCTTTGAATAAAATTGGTAATTTCGTACAACCTCGCTTTAGTGGAAAAGCTATGTAGATCTTTGGAAGGAAATCAAAGAGTCCTTTAAAAATTTACATTGATTTAATATCGAATATCTGAATATAGCAAAACTTAAAGTGGATACACAGTTATCTTGCGCCGTCTCTCGTTTCCAACTCAATATTCAGTCGGCTACCAGGAAATTGCGGTAACTTAATAACCGATAAAAGCAAACTAGATTTATAATACTTATAACGTAAGTATATCTGTTAAAAGGTTTTCTTCATTTTACAACGGGGTCTTTAAAAATATAATAGCACAGATACACGAATTACAAAAAAATATCTCACATTTCTAACGCGTGCAATTTGTAGATCTATTTTTGCTACCTTGTTTCTGCACTAGATGGTGACAGTTATGTAGGAAGTTCCCCTCATCTGTTATTTAATTGTGAGAGGGTTTATATGTTAACTACATGCATATTCATAATTTAGAACCCGGGCTTATTGTCCAAATTCATTTAATTTGACATTTGATAGATATTTAAAATTTTACGCTACAACTCATAAAGTACCTTATATAGATACCACTATTTAACATGTGATAGCGATTGAATGAAAGATAACGTTATTGGAATGAGGAAGTATTTAAAATAAAAGCACTAAAAATCACCTCACTAGATGGCGACTCTGGCAAATATGTATTTTTGAAGGAAACGAATGGACCAACGATAGTCATCTCCATTCCTTTTAACTAACATATTAAAAAGCTGAAATTTGCAAATTATTCTTAATTTAAAATGCTTAAAAAATCCACTTGGTCCCTGGCATCTAACCCACGATCTTTCGTAAACCGGGAGACTGCTCTAACCACTGAGCTACCCAGAACCTAACAGGACTGACGAATCTTTCAAGCGCTTGTTACTTTTCGCTACTACAGAGCGTATTCTCATCAACATCAGATAGCGCAGGGTCGTGGGTTCGAATCCCATTTCAGGGTGCCAGGGACCAAGTGGATAATTTAAGCAATTTGTATTAAAAATAATTTTCAGTACGGCATTGTGAATGCAAAATTAATAAAAAAAATGAAATTTGCAAAGTTTGAAACTTAGATATCAATATAAATACGAAAAAGTACAAATAGAATATGAGTTGTTTTTGAGTTTTGAAAATTAATTTACTTTTATACATGAAAGAAAACAGGAAAGGTTGTCATGGAAAAATCAAGAACGTACCGTTGCGACATTTAGTTTGATTTCGCGAACAATTTTTATTAATACTTCTTCATTGTCTAAGGCAAGCCTTACACGTAAATATATTTGAATGTTATTCAGAATTGACAAACGAACGAGTTGTATGCTTACTGCGATCTTTCGAAGGCTTTAGATATTTTTTTATGTAATTTATTGATTATTCAAATCATCATGCGTCCCAAAAGCGATAGCGAATTTAAAAGTTATATGTTTCCTTAAATCGCTGTCACAATGTTATACCTTTAAAAGGGATCACAGTCATTTTCTTTTTATGAATTTCTGTCTGAGAATACGTCCAGAGTTATTAAAAAATATATTACTCATACTAATTAACACCTGCGGGCCTATTTTATTTGTCTTAAAAGAAAAGAAATAAGAAATTAAAAGCTGTTATTAAAAATGGAAAAACAAGATTATATTTAATTTTTAAAATTACCCACGAAAATGCCAACTTCTGACATGGCGTCGCCATGACGTCACGCCCCTGAGGCCCTTCTTAAACTAATATCGTTCTATGTATACATGAGGTTCAATTCTCTAAATTCTGACATGAGTAAGAGTAGCGTGACGTCACACACTATTTGCAATCACGTGACAATGAGTTTTAAATATTTGTTTTTCATAATTAATTTAAGCATTACTATAAATATAATAGCATAAAAATGTGATTATCGGTAATAGTACATTAAACACTACTAGAAAAAAAAGATACGTATATATTTTTGTTTACTGTCTATACTCGTATTATGCAATATTTTTACAATAATTGTAAGAATTTGAGGGTAATTAATTAAAATAGTTTTTATCTCGCAATGTACCATCCTCTGTCTCAATCTATCTTATTTCTTTTGTTTTTTTTTTTAACTTTGCTTATGAACCGTTTAATGTGATTTGTTTGTTTAATTAGATTTTCGGACTCTATGTAAGAATATTGTACATTTTTAAGGTTGCTATATTTAGCCAACAAGGGATTCTTGTAGTTTCGCCATGTCCGTCTATCTGTCTGTTCGTCCGTCCATACATTTGCGGTTTAGTTCAAAAACTATTGGTAGTATAATTTTGTGATTAAGTATGAGTATAAAATCTTGAAAAAACATTTCTTTAGGGTACCTCCCCTACTTGTAAAGTGGGGATTTTTTTTTTTTGTTTGACGTAGTGTGGGTTATCGTTAGATATGTCTTCAAAATGTTGGGGATAAGGAAAAACCATAGTTAACCGTTTATGGCTTATTAAGCTTTAAAGTGCCAATTGTCATTAGAGTCAAATGTCCTCCCCCTCAACAAACAAAGCAATTATTGTTGAAAAATTAAAACGTCACGCAAATAGTGCCTACATACATATAACGAAGTTAATACGAAAACAATCACACTTAAGTTGGCTTTAGAAGTTTACGAGTAATAGCCGACCAATTGTATTTAACTCGAAAATTTCGATCACTTCCTTTAAAAACAACAACCGTATTTTTTTTGTGTTTTAAATGGATAATAGTTCGGGTCCTTTCGTGATCCGATTCGTGCTTGGCCGATTTATTAAACAGATAAATGGATTCAGACTGAGCCATCGATTCAGACTAAGAATAAGCTTGTTTGAATAAGCAATGTGAAAAAGGCGAAATTTATACATTTCTCGATATTATTATTCAACAGTGGACAGATTTTTATAACGGATTTTTATTGGAAATGATACTTATAGGTATTCTCAACCCGGTCCTAGTCTCACGAGGTTTATTTGGACCATTTTTTTTGTCATTTGAAAAATAGGACACTCTTTGTTTATGGTCGAACATAAAAACATTTAAAACCTAATATCGATCACTATTAAAGTTAGTAGGTAATCTTTGTTTGAAGTCGGTTAGTTAATATTAATATGAGAACCGAATAAAATCTCTTTAGTTCAACACGTAGATAAAATATTTCCACTAAGTTTAATAAAAACATCAGTCATACAGAAAGTAGTTACTATATCTGCGGTCTCTCCCAGAAACTTATTACCTTTGAAAATCTTGTAAACGACAAATCGTCGTCGCGGCAAAAAAATACTAAAGAGGATTAAAGGCAGTGTTCACATTAGCAGCATTAATTATATTTTTATGATAAATAGGAACGTATACAAGTAGGCACGCATAATACTCAACTGTATAAACGTGCATTAAGTCTTAATGACGATTATAATTTCTAATAGTTATTAAAAAAATTGCATCGATAATATTGCTTTAAATTAGTGATAAATTTTTTACGACCGTTTGTGCAAATGGCACAGTATGCACATTGCACATTACACTTATATTTTATCATGTAGATAAGAGAATTGAATTAAGGGAATTTGCGAACTTAACGAAATTGATTAGTTCTCGCAAGATCTCGTTTACGCGAGATCTCGGCCTTTTTTAGCGAGACTGATCTCGGTCGAAAAAAGAACGAGATCTGGCGAGTTTAACGAGATTGCACTAGAGCACAAAAACGAGTGTAAATCGAGGGGTCAAAAGAGAAAGATTTACAATTTTGACATTACTTTTGTTTCCGAAAGGGCCTTCTCAGCGGCTGGTTAACTGATCAGCACAATAAGGACAAAATTAGCAGGCGATTCTTTGGACATTTTGTACTTCTTAAGAAGCTACTTTCCAGATTATTAGTAATAATGGCGTGAGGTGAACTGAACAAATTTTAAAATTTATATTATATCTTGTTCATTTATTCTATAATTCCTAATAGATCTCTGAGTACATATATTTTTATTTAATTGATAATAATATCTCAGTTTAATAATCAATTTAACTTACATAGCTAATGACTATTAATTTAAATTTGATTTATTGTTGTTTTGTTATAAAATAACTGTTTTATAAATACTTTTGTTTGATATTTTATTTCGTTTTTGATTACACACGTCAAAGTTTACTATTTAAGTGCTATTACTGCTAGAGCCTCGTACTCGGTTAACCTTTGCTAAATCTCTGTTTAATAATATGAATTTTTACTAATATCAAGTGTAGTCTCAGCGTAAATTTACTCCGACGCTAAACCTAGTTTATTAATAACACTTTATAAGTTTAATACCTAGATCACTAAGCCTTACTCGGTACTGTTCTAGTATTTATTAACTCGCGAGATCTCGCTCGAGCCCCGATCTGGCGAGATTGCATTCACTAAAATTGATATAATGTATCATAGATTCTATATTTTCAGTTTTATCAGTGCATACTTACAATGGAAATAATCTAATATTAGAACTTGGCACTGGTCATGGATTCTATGCGGAATATGAAATGAATGGGAAGTATCTAAAAGCAATCT